TATTATGAATTTGAAAAGATAACGTATGGACTAAATTTAGGGAGATGATACGGTCTCATTACGAACCATACCGTCGGGATTTGTAACCGTTAGATCAACAATCTCCAACGGTCACATGATGATCTAACGGTTACAAATCCCGATAGAATGATTCAGTAACGAAATCGTAACGTTTCCCCTAAATTTGAAATTAATAGCTGACATAGGTCGAATTTTCAACATATATAATGATTAAAAAATTATTTCCAAACGTATGAAAATGAATATTTAAAATACGTTATAACTTGATGTTTTGAAATGAAACCAAATTAATAGTTATACCTAATCAATTTTGTATGTTATATGAGGCCACCACAAATTTTCAGTAACACTAGAGCGACAATCAGTGTGTTATATGTACAAAAATTTTCAGTGATAAATTTTTTTGATCACTTGTATCATGTAGTGTTGCATATCAATGTTATATGCCAATTAGATACACTACAAAATAAATGTTATATTCCAACAAAAAATCCTATGGTAATATATTCTAATGGAAATTCCAACGGATATTCCAATGGAATAGCTTCCGTTGGAATAGTTCCAACAGAAATTCCAACGGAAATATTTCGATGGAATGTGTTTTTCATTGGAATTTTAAATTGAATTTGATGATTCCAACGGCTTTTTACTGTAGGAATTTCCGTTGGAATATGCAAATTCTGTTGGAATTTTTTTTTTCCACCCCCGTTAGAAAATCCACCGTTGGAATCGTCAAAATCCAACGGAAATTCCAATGGAAAACCCATTCCAACGGAATATTTTCGTTGGAATTTCCGTTGAAATTCATTGAAAAATTTCAACGGAAATAATATTATTGAAATATCCGTTGGAATTACCGTCGGAATAATTTTTTTTGAAATATATTTCCGTTGGAATTTCATCATTTTTTTGTAGTGATATGACAAAATAAAAATATTTTTCATTAAGTATTTGATCACAAACTTTTTTTTCATTTAAATTTAACAGATAAATTTAATGTTCCTTTATCGATGTCAATAGAAGACCGTGAAAAATATGATTAATTTAATATATTATGTATCATGGCGGATATGAGGACACGGAAGGAATTTATTGAATTTTTTAAAATAATAAAAAATAACATTTATACTTTAAACAACTTCATAACTGGGAAGTTTTAGCTTTATACAAAAATTCATCATACCAAACAAATTTTATTTGAGTTAAAAAAACCATAAAGCCTAACTAAATAAGCTAATAAAAAAATATGTAATAACCTACTGCAAAACATAAATCATTCACACATAAAAAAACATTTTAACCCATTATGAATGAAGCATCAATTATTAGTATATTTTATATTAAAGTTGACACGTAAGCTTAAGTGTAACAATTCATGATATGAATATTATATTAAGAATACACTAGTACAATACTCGTGTACAATACGAGTGTTAAGTTAAGAAATATATGATACGAGTTATTTATGTCTAATACCAAACCTAATTTCAGAGCAAAAATAATATAAAAACAACATCACGAAGCATAGATTTTCGTCATGTCAGCATCCGAAGCGTGAGAATCTGCCACTTAAGCTCAACACGTTTTGAATTAATATATAGAAAGGGATTTTAGTTGGCTTTAAGCTATGTAGACAAATTCAATAAGAAAGATAAATTCATTTAGAAAAATAAAATAAAATAAAATAAAATAAGAGGCCCCTACCAATGGTTTGAGAAGATTAATAAATTAATTATAGAGCCACCCAACAATATCATAATATCTCTCACATCCCTCTAATGCCCACTTCCTTTAATTGCAATTCAACAAAGTGAAAGAAAAAGTAGTAAGACATAATGTTTTTAATTGATAGTCAAATGCAGAAATTAAATCCTTATTTATAGTAACAATTAATGGCATTTCATGCTTCCATCTTCCTTAACTCTTTATGAAGGCCCAATTTATAATGTGCTGTTGACTATAAAGGAAGCCCAACTGGTACTAGCAGGGGCATTTAGGTAATTTGAACTCCCACAATTTTAGAAATAAATTGAATGCAAAAACCCATGTTACCCTTCATTGCACGTCCAATGAATTAGATGTAGCTAAATATTAAGTCAATAAATATAGGTTTAGTACTTATATAGTACCAAAATCAACACAATTGTCCAATAATAATAATAATTAATTAATTAATTAATTATTAATAATAATAATAATTACAAACTCTTAGTATATAAAAAATGGCAATCATAGATTTTCCAATGGAAAGATTGTAGTTAATATGATAAGTGCTATTAATTTATAATGGCAATATTAGATTTC